TAATGTCCGAACTTTGTATATGCTCCTGATCAGATATCTTAAGTTTCTGATTAATAAGCATTATAACAACCACAGTTAAAGCACACCAACTATAGCAAACCAATAATAGATACTGTTTTTTGGCACGTCGCCTTGGTTATATAGGCGTGTAGAGAGTTTCTCGAAAATTCAGATTACATAACAATATTAACACGCTACACTAGAGTTTACATACATGTACATTGTTGATTCTTACACTCGAAAATCTTCTACACTTTTAGATAATAAGTGGGAGTTTCGTAATACATATTTAACAGTATAATTTATGTGCATTTCTAAATATAAATTAAATTTCAACAAACATCGATATTAAAATAAATATATAATAATAAATCTGCCACACATTCCAAAAGGCTTCATCATAAGACTGTCATGTTTACAGCACACCCTTCCTCCCTAATGGCTTTCCATAATTTATCTAGAGTACAAGGATAACTCATTGCTCATTTTAATAGTCTGATCACACAGAAATGTATAGGTGCTGCTTTCAGCACAACAAAGTTTGCATGCCAAACTGTGTACTACGTTCTTGTGGTTACAATTTCCTCTTAAAACTGATTCACAACCTGCATATTTGTCTGCAGGTTTATTGCATATTTTGGAATTAAAGGCTGATCTTACTAACATATTTTTCAAAGTTCTAACTGGTTTCTCTGTAACTTTGATGTCAAGACTAGATTGAGCTGAAACCTTAGGACTAATATATGATGAAACAAAATTAGTGTGAAACTACTTTTTTCATATGGTAATGTTTCTGCATTGTTACTGTGAAAACTGTTTTCATACCTTCATAACATATTATCAATATGCGTTTTAGGGTATTTATTAATGTTTAATTTATTAGCAAGTTCTTTTATAGCTTTGGATTTAACTTCATTAGTTGTACGAGTCTTATTGATATGGTTTAGTTGGCCAATAATAGTCTCACATCACCCACTACATGATAAACTTGCAACTATTATTGGATAACATAATATATATATATATATATCATAACATATGTATGCTTTAAATAGTATAATCTTGTCCATTTAAGTGAGCTTCCAATTTATTTATATATTCTTGAGCAAAGTCCATCTTACTGCACATTCTCATATTATTTTGAACTCTTTTGTATAAGCCTAAATCAGTTAGCTAGTGTCTTGTTTGCCATGATGAAGCTGTAATGGTGAAACATTGGCTTTAATAAAATATTTTATGTTTTCTGGAATAATAGGTCATGTTTTTTTCTCCTTTTAACAATGTATAGAACTCTCCAGCTTGCACTACACACTTTAAAATTGCATAATAAATAAGCATCACTTACAGAACTGTTTTTATAGTGACTCAATAAATGTTCTGAAGTGATGTGGTTTGTAGAACAGTATTTGGTGGTTGTGGCTATGATACTTTGGAAGGATACAAGAAATCTGGAGTGAGACTATAATTGTTTGAACAGAGATGTGTTTCTTGAGGGCTTTTAGTACATTCTGTTTTTTTTTTGTTTTTTTTCTCTCTTTTAGGTTTATTTTGAAGATAAAATTATGGCAGATATAACTCAGTCAAAAGAGTCAGTGGAATCAGATGTGAATAACACACGTACTACAGAAACATCTGAAGCTATGGGTGGAACAACACCAGGAAGAAAACCTACATGTATTATTGTTTTGGGTATGGCTGGATCAGGGAAAACAACATGGGTGCAGGTATGATTCTTGTAATACAAGAACATACATGGTAGAACTGGGTGATTAACTCAGTTAATTGATTTAATCAATTACCTTGATTGGTGGGAGGTAAAATAATTGATTAATCAACATTAGTGTTTCCAATTATTATTGTTTTTGATTATTCCAACTATTCAAGTAATCAAAATATTAACATTATGGTTTCACATTGTGATTTTCGAAGCTGTTCAGCTAAATTGATTGGAGTTACAACTCTCAAAAATATTTAACTAATCAATAACTAATATGTACAGTTATTACTATTTTCAGTTATTCCAACTGGTCAAGTCTCATTGATAATAATTGAATAATGAGCCCTACGATTAATCGATTATCAAATTCCACTAATCACCCAGATGTAATACATGTATTTGTTATTTTATGTCAACATTATCTTCACTATTTGATTTTGAAAGTAAAAAGAAGAATCTATGTTTTGCAAAAGTAAACAGGAATCAGAAGCAAGCTGCATCAGTATACTTTATGATACTAAAATGTTAGTTGATCATAGATGGTTATAAGATGGATGTTCTTTAAAGAAACAGAATTTTATATCCCTTATTCTGGACATGAGTAAATTGTGGTTAATGTATTTGTATATTATTATAAGTCTACTGATGCATCATATCCTATTTCTTTCCACAAAATGTTGTTTACAAACATTTATAAAATGACACCAAGTGGCAATGTTTTTAAAAATGTGCTGTACAGGTTTCAGTTAAAAATTTATACTTCATTGTGTTTATAATTCTGTCACTTTGTGTCTTCTACCTTTTTTGTTCTTTCAAGGATAGTTTTCATGGATAATACATGCAGATCTTAAAAAAAAACACCATGCAATTCAGTTATAACACAGCACCAGCATTGTAATTAACTGGTGTAGTGAAGCTTGTGGAATAATGAAGGAAGTGGATTGCACTTTATTGGAACTATGTTAGAAAGTAATGTCTAGTTGCCTCATTTCATAGCTCCATTAGTGTACAATAGTCTTATTATAATCTTATATCGTAGGCTTGTGTTACTTTTTAATATATTTCAGAGGATAAATGCACATCTTTATGCTAAAAAAAAATCTCCATATGTGATCAACTTAGACCCTGCATGTAAAGAATTACCATATCCAGCAAACATTGGTGAGTTTTGAATAACTTTTTTTTTCTTATATCTTTTTTCTTTTGCATTTCAGTTTTGGGAAATAGTTTCATATTTAGATACCCCTCCCCACAACACACACGTGTGAAATGTCAAAAATGACTTAGGACTGAGGGTAAATCATAATGCCACAAACTATTCTTTCCTGCCCATTATGTATACTTTCAGTAAATATGTACTGAATAGCATAACTTTGTACATAAGTAAACAACACACATCTAAATAATATATAGGAAACTTATTTTGTTACCTATGTTTAAAAATAGGAAGGTTTTCTCATGCTAGTCTGTCAGAATTAAGTTATATAAGCATCTAGAGATAATTATCTCCATTTGGAATTTTTGGATAGTCTATTGTCATAAAAACAAATAACTTACTGTGTTAATTTTTTTTAATTAGATATTGTCTAAACTTATTATGAGTTACTTATCGTGATTCTTTTGTTGTGAATAATATAAACATCTTAATAGTTTTCTGTGAGGTTGAAACAAGTGTGTAATATCAGATGTTTGATATTTTATATTAATATATAATTATATGTACATTTAAGAAATTTCAAACTTGGGACATCACATTAAGACTAGTAGTATTTTCTTTATTATGTGCTTCCAGAAAAACATGTACAGTAGCATTACAATTAATTGAGGCTTTTGCTCAGTATCATAAATTATTAGATTGACAAGGTTATAACAGTCAAAAGTCTATCTTAAAGATATTTAAGGGGTCATTTAAGCAGTATTAAATTATAAAGTGTAAAAACTCTAACCCAAAAACAATGAACATTTTTTAATCTAGAAAATGTAATAAAACAATTATTTTTAGTTCTTTCAAATTCTAACACCATAATTCTTGTTCATGTCTTAGAATCATAGTAGTGTCTTCATATATACATGATAAATAACTATATCCACGAATATCAAGTTGTAGTTTATGTTTTTTCATACAAATGAATAACAGTGGAATTTGTTTTTGATTTTAAAAAGTTTTACTATGTTGTTGTTTTTCTTCAAATTTAGCTTCTTTGTACTTATAATGGCTGTAGACGGCTTGAATGGATAATGAAGAAAAACTTTAATATAAGTTTAACATAACAGCAAATGTACAACGTTTCGACAAGGTTTTGTCATCATCTGATGATGACAAAACCTTGTCGAAACGTT